CTGGATTTCGAAAACCCAGTGTTACAGAAACCAATGAAGTAGGAAGAAAAATCCAGTTCTGAGCAATCATTGCATCAACAAATATTTACTTTGCAAGGAACTTCTGATTATCATTTGAATCTCACTATTTAAGAACAGAACTTAATATAAGACTTAGAATGACTTTGGTCAAGATGTTTAGAATTCAGGAAAGAAAACTTGCCTTTGATGTTTAAGGACAATCTAATAGTTCACATACCAAGTACTAAGGGTAGTTAAAGAAATTGGAAAGTAGGCCACTAATTCGGAATATATAAGGAATTGTGGAAAATTCACAGATGGAGTAGGAAATGATGCAAAATACAATTAACCAAGTATAATGAATTAAATATTTGTTAATTACGCAACTCATTTTTTTATTGAAGAAACATTGGGTTACAACATTCTATAAGCTTCAGATATATGCAGCTCATCCTTTTTTAAAAAATAACTTTATAAAGATATAATTTATATACTATAAAATTCACCCATTTGAAGTATACATTGAATGGTTTTTAGTGTATTCATAAAATTGTGCAATATCATAATTTTAGAACACTTTTGTCACTCCAAAATGTCACTCCACTTTTGTCACATTAGCATTTACTCCCCCCAACCCTCACCTTGACCCCAGCTCCTAGATTAACATTAATCTACTTTCTGTTTCTATATATTTGCCTACTCTGGGTATTTCATATAAATGTGACTGGTTTCTTTCGCTTTGTAGGACACTAACAATATTTCATTCCATTTTTTGCCGAATAATATCTAGTTGCATGGATAATAATACATTTTCTTATCCATCCTGAGAGAGGAATTTCTGGGCTACATGTTAACTCTATATTTAATATTTTGGGAAACTGATGAAATTTCTCAAAGTATCCGCACCATTTTCATTCTCACCAGCAAAGAATGTAGGTTCTATTTTCTTCATATTCTGTTGTTGTCTTTTTTATGATAGCATCACAGTGAGTATGAAGTAGTATTTCACTGTATATTTAATTTGTATTTCCCTAATGACTAATAATGTTGAACATCTTTTCATACACTTTGCAAGGCCATTGTTGGCCATTTGGATATTATGCAATTCATTCACATGATGCACACACTGTTCCTATAGTCCATTAATTAAATATTTTTTGAGCATTTCAGTGTTAGAATAAGTGAGCACATCAAACAAAAGTTTGCGATCTCACGGAACATTTATTCTGGTTGGGGCACAGAGACAATATAAAACATAAGTCTGTAGAATGTTAGGGGGTATTTCATAAATACTATGAAAAAATAGGTATAGAGAATGCTGGAGGTGAGATAATTTTAAAGTAGCTAGAGAAGGCCTCACTGAGAAGGTGTCACCAACTCTGATGTTTGAGTAAAGATAGGAGGTGATTAATGGAAATATGGGCAAAAGCAGGCTGAGGTAGTAGCTCAAAATTCTCAAGGCAGGGGGATTCATTCAAAGAGCATCAGTATGGCTGGAATAAAAGAGGGAGACCAGTAGGAAAAAACAAGATCAGATTGAATAGGGCCTTCAGGCTGTTACAAAAACTTCAGCTTTCACTGAGTCAAATCCTGACTGGAGGATTTTCACAGAGGAGTGGCATGCTCTGACTTCATCAAGGATGTTTTGAGATGCATGTGTGTGTACATACATGGTTGAAGGTTATTGGTGGTCACGATGATTGGAACCAGGCATGATAAGCACCGTAATGCACAGAATGATCTTCCACAAAATGTCAGTAGAAACCCTTTAGGAAACACTGGGGCAGGAGAGAAAAGAGAAATCCATCAGTCCAACAGAGAAATGACAGTGACTTGGATCAGGCGGTGTGGATGATAAAGAAACCTGAAGGTTCTGGATATGGGCACTTACCCAAAAGGGGATGTGTAATTTTGGGTGTTTACTTGTAAGCTATTTTAACTATATTCTTTGTCTCCTATTTTGCACACTAATTGTATTAAAGCTATTTTTTATTGAAGGTCTTAGCACTAGAGTATGTTTTGTCTTGAGGTGGGGGCTGGCAGAACCCATTTAGAGCAGGCAGGCTTGGGGGTCCTTGGGTGTTTCTCATTCTGCCTACAACAATCTCACTTCTCAATAATTTTGTTTCTGTGAAAGATGTGTGTGTGTGTGTGTAATGTTAAGTGTTCCCTAGGGTTTTTGTTTTTGTTTTTTTTACAGGTTTAACACACCACTTTTTAGAATTCTAGGCAGTCTGGGGGATGGGGATTTCGAGCCTGGAGAGGCAGGACTTCTCCGTGTTCTAGGCCATATATCAGATATCTTAGAAATACTTGTTCTTGTGAAGAAGCTGCACATACCCTACTAACCTGGACATGGAGGAATAGAGACTAAGAAGAGAAAGGTAAATACGAGTCCTGAAAGGTTCACCTCAGACAAAATGCCTCTCTTTGCACCACACGACAAGTGAGGAGCAGGTAATCTAGGGAACAGGCAAAGAAAACCGTAAACCAAGGGGTACCCATATCCCGGTAGAGCCCCTTAAAGCACAATCCATCCCCTTAGCCCGCAAACCCCACCAGCTCCTCAGCTGCCCAGAAGACCCACGTTCTGCGCGATGTCCCAGATCCTTCCCAGCCGAGGGCCGCCGTCCGCTCCTCCTCCCTCCCGGCTCCCGCCGCAGGGCCGGTCACGCCGCCCCCCCGCGCCGCAACCTGGGCCGGCCGGGCCCGCAGCGGTGGCGTCCGCGGGCTCTGCCGCATTGGCCGCTGCGGCACCGAGCGCGCAGCTCGGGGCGGCGGCCGCGACACCGGCGCGCGTGCTCTCGGGTGCCGCCGCAGCCGGGTCCGGGCGTGCGCCCGCCAATGGCCCTCGGGCCGCCGCCTGCGCGCCCCTCCCTGCGCCCAGCCTCGCCCGCCCGCCCCGGGCCGCGGAGCCCCCGACCGGGGCGAGATGCTGAACGGCGCCGGCCTGGACAAAGCTCTTAAGATGTCCCTGCCCCGCAGGTCGAGGATCGGCTCCTCAGTGGGTGAGAAGCGAGCGGCGCGGGGCCGGGAGGGTCGGCCCAGGCGGGGGCGGGCGTGGGCACAGGCGGGGCGCCCGCGCGCGGTGGGGTGACACTGCCCCGCCCTCCGCCCTGCCTCCCCCGCCCTCCGTCCTGCCTCCCCCGCCCTGGGGCCCGAAGGCCGCGCGGGTCGGCGGGCGCTGCGCGCTGCCCTGGCCGTGGGGGCCGGTCGCCACCCCACTTGAGATGCCAATGAGATCCAAAGTTGGGCTGGGGGGCGGGGGGCGGCAGAGACCCCCGGGGCCGCCCCCGGTACAGGTGCGCGCGCGCGCACCGTACGTGTGCGCCTGTGTGTGTGTGTGTGTGTGTGTGTGTGTGTGTGTGTGTGTGTGCGCGCGCGCATGCCCGCCAATCCCCGCGGCGCGCGGCCGACTGCTCAGTGATCCCGGAGAAAGCCCCTTTCGGGACCCCGCTGGATCCCCTCGGCGGGCGCGCTTTGCGGGGCGCGGCGACTATCTCGCTTCCCCGGCCCGCGGCCCCCGGGCCCGTGGGAGGCTCGCTGCAGGCGCAACTAAAGGGTCACAGGAATGTTCCTCACCACCGGGGCCCTCGGGCTTCGCGCCCACCAGCGCACACGCTCCACGCCCGGTGGCGAAGCGCGTGGCGCGTGCCCGTGCCCCCAACCCCCTTCCTTGTGAACCCCAGCCTCCATGCTCCCCGCATTTGGAGTCAGAGGCCAGTGTTTTATTTCTTGTATAACATTTAGAAAGCAGCATCTTGTTGGTTGCATGCTATGTGATTGTGATACGTGGTTCTCTGGACACTCAGATAATAAAAAGTTGAAAGGGAGATTCAAACATGATTTGATTTCTTACCGTTTCAGGACTTTCAGCAAGTTTGTAGCTAGATCTTTGATAGGAAGAAGATCCAGGTCTTGCAGTTTGGAGTTGCTGTGACTTGTAATCTTTGTGGTTATTATCAAGATTCTTTTTTTTTTTTTTTTAAACAGGCATATAAAATTAAGTGACTTTCCTATTTCTGTAGTTGAGTGATGTGAGGGAAGAACAGCGTATCAGGCAACCTAGACCACTGTTTTCTTGAACTTGAGTAAAATAAGGAAGGGCACCTTCATGTCATTTGGAGGAGAATCCCAGTTGTAAGAAGGTCGTGGGGACTGGCTGTGGGGAACCAGGGCTGAAGCAGGGAGACCAGTTGGCAGGGGACAGCAGCAACTCAGGTGCCAGATAGTACCTGTGGGAATCATAAGATAAATGGTGGGGGAAGTGGACACTTCCTGCATGTTTGAAGGCAGAACCAAAGGCATTGCTCATGCTTTGAATGTGAGGCTTAAGTAAAGAGGAGATTCAAAGACGTCTTGAGCTGAGAAACTGGAGAATGTACCATTTACCGAGATGGGGGAATCTGAAAGAACAGGACTTTCTTTTATGGAGGGAGGGTCAGGAATTTGTTTTTGAGCATGTGAAGTGCCTATTAGAGAGCCAAGTGAGATGTTTAATGGACAGTTGGACGTGTGAGCCTGAGACGAGGGCAGTATTCTAGACTAGGGGGATGTAAGGAGGAGCCCCCAGCAGCACCAGCTCTTTTTGGAGTAACCCTGCAGGTGCACAGGACCTGCTCTTGAGTAACCCTGCAGGTGCACAGGACCCCTTCTTGGAAGAGTCGTGGACTGACTTTCATGCTCTGCTGCTGCTGTCTTGCATGTCTTAATCCTTTTTGGGCATGGGGTCTGCATTTTAACCTTGCACTGGGCTCAGCAAATGTGTAACCAGAGTGTACATATATAGTTGAAAAGAGAGGCGTCCTGGGGCAGAATTTTGGGCATCCCAACATTTCAAGGTCACAGAGACTAGGGCAACAGCAAAGGGGATGAGAGGATGGATAGTGGGATCAGAGGAAGACCACAAGAGGAATATTCAGATCACTGAGGCAAATGTCAGAAGTAAGGGAATGTTCCTCTTGGTGGACTGCTGCTGAGAGCTCAGGAAAGATGAGGTCTGAGAGCTGTTTGATTTAGAATTTAGAGGTCTTTGATGACCTTGAAAAGAGCAGTTTTTGTATAGTCATGGGGAATAATGCTTAAGGAACACCTTCAAGAGAGACTAAGATTACAGTTGTACAATTGATAACATGAATGTCAAATTGAGGGTTTTTTAGGTTGAAAGGAGGGGAGTGATCTGAGATCAGCAATGAGGAAGGTTGTCAGGGCAAAGCAATGAAGGCAAGATGCCCAGAGGTGGCAGATACAGGGGTTCTTGCTGATATAGCCTGCAGGTTCCAAAAGACAGCAAGGGTGGCTAAAGAGGCAGGAGTTTATGTATTTACATGCTGCATGAAGAAGAGGGGGATCTGAGAGTAGGGGCTCCCTGTGACTCCTGTGACCTTGGGTAAAGGGCATCTGAGGGTTAGTTTGGGTGATAACCAGGCAGATAGAGATGGTGAGGCTGAAAGTGTTAATGCAGGAATGTCCTGGGCTCTGGAACCTCTTCTTTCCCATCGATAGAGGTGTGGAGCCAGAAGTGGGACATTGCCATCAACAGAATTAGCACCCAAAATTTTGTGCATCTTTTTTGCCCATCTTCAAAATGTCTTGTTTCTTTTTTTAGTCCTTTGTTTCTTCACATGTATTTTTAAAAGTGCACTTTCTGAAAACAAAAAAAAAAAAGTTCTTTAGAATTTTGGATAAGTTAGCATTAGGTTTATAGATTAATCCGGAGCGAAATGATTTTTAAAAATGTTAAGTCTTCGTAATGCCACTTGCAGCAGCATGGATGGAGCTAGAAGGAATTATGCTCAGTGAAATGTCAAGAAAGAAAAAGAAAAATATCGGGTGATTTCACTTATAGCAGGAATATAGGGGAGCCAAATAAGACATCAGTGTAAAAAAATAATAACAGCACAAAACACAACAAAGCAAAAACGGACAATTATAAATCAGAGACATCTGTAGGGGAGGAGGAGGGAGAGGGATCAGAGGCAGGAGGGAGGAGCACAGGGGACTGAGGTGATGGTGCACGGGTGCCTTGGGGAAGGAAACTCTATGGGGACTACTCCTGAGGGAGTGGGGGGAAGCAAATATTGTTTAAAAATGAACAATGATGTAAAAAATATGCAAATAAAAAGAAAATAAAAAAATAAAAATATTAAGTCTTCAAAGTTAAAAACATGCCATCTCTCCCCATTGACATGTCTTCTTTTCTAATTGAAAGGCTTTATTTTTTTCAATTAGTTAGCAGTCACTGTTTGTAAAAATCAAAACTGACATATATTTGATGTGTTTATTTCCTAATATATTTGAATATGCTTGATGATTTAGCTGTTGTGAGCTAATTTATTCTGGTTAAGATATTACTAGGAGGTTGGACTATAACTAATACTGTAATATTTAATTTAGTATACTTCTATAGCCATGTTTTTAAACTATGTATACATTAATTTATAGTTACGGCATTTAAAAATAAATGTAACTTTGAGGATATACATACATGTGTGCACACATGTACACACACATATGCATACCAGTGACAAAATTTAACTCCTAACCACAACCTACAATGAGCTAAAGTGAACTTAATTAGAATAAAAAGTGCTTCCCAGGATAATTTCATCCTTGGCTCATATTTGTCAGGGTCTTAAAAATTTGATGTTAAAATTTTTTCTTAGATGACTTCTCTTTCTTGCTCCTCCACATACGGTTACCTCACTATTTGTAGTTTAGAAAGAATGGAAGATAATCTCTTAAAGCAATGTTAATCTTCAATCAAAATTTGCCAACTCAGTTCTTCTGTAGAATCTTACAAAGCTCATATGATCTCCAGTTTGCTAGAATATCTTACTGAATATTTCAGTTTAACCAGGAGAGAAAATTAATCAGGATTTTAAATACACGTATATTCTTTCCCCCTTTTGGCTACAAAGGAAACTTAATTTAATTCTTCCCTCCATCACCATCCCTGTATTCCCTTTGAACATTTCTTTTTCCGCTTCCCTCTTAACCTCAGAAACTCAATTTGTTATTGATGTCTGCTTTTTTTAAACTAATGTTTACAAAGTATATTAATTTGTTGAATAGTCTGCTATGTAAATGCCACATATTTGTCTTTGCTATTGACTAGCTTTACTAAACATAATTCCCTCAAACCCCTAACATTCTGCTGTAAATCATAGCATTTCATCTTTCCTTTTGGCTGAGTGGTATTGCATAATGTGGATATACCATATCTTCTTGATCCAGTCTTTTATTTGTGGTTATTTTGTTTTCTTTTTTTTTTTTTTTTTTTTTTTTTTTTTTAATAGAGGCATGTTTTATTTATTTATTTGTTTGTTTGTTTGTTTTGTTTATACATGCACTGGGTACAGTCAGAAGCGTGGGAGGGTGAGAGAATTCACCAGAGCCAGAGCGGGGAGCAGAGCAGGCAGAAGGACCGAAGTACACTGCTGAGGGGAGCAGCGGGCGGCAGGAGAGGTCTGCGCGCCATGTGGGACCCTCCTCCGGTGGCCGGGGAGCAGCTGGGGATCGAACCGGCGCCGCAGAGGCCGCGGGCAGCTTCGCAACCCAGCGCTCAACCGCTGCGCCACCGGGGAGGCCCTTATTTGTGGTTATTTTGGTTGCTTCTGTCCTTGCTTGCTGGCTAATTTCTGACAGAACCAGTTAATTTCTAATTCTAATTCCAACATGCTTTGTTCAATAACAGACTAAGTTAAACAGAACATGATATTCATTCTATACTCTTTTCTGTTCCTCAAATGGAAATAAAGAACAGGGTCTAATTTCTCTTGCTTCCATATTCTGTACTATCATTCCTGTTCTATTACTAACTATTACTGTTCATACAGTGGTTCCTGTGGGTCCTCACTATGTGAAGATTTGACGGTGTCAGGACTACTTTTTGCACTGGTCCAACAGTCTAGGTTATATTTGGAAATTTCTTTGAAGTAGAGTGTACAGGGTTTAAAACACCAGGCTTTACCAGTAGAGAGAAGTGGATACAGATGTTAACATTGTC